TTCACAAAATTTTCAATTAAGTTTTATATTCAAACCATTCCACAATACAATTTACTCAACTAAATCCTTAAATGGACTAAATTATAGTTAGTCAAAACTAATGATAAATAATTAAGATTTTTAGCTTAATTTTTTAATTAATTAAGATTATAGTGTTATTTTTATCAAATTAAAATTTTTAAAAAAAATCTTTTACATGTAAAAATTTTTAAAATGCATTTTCTCTATCTTTAAATAATAAACATTTTTTAATTTATCTTTAAATTAAGGATTTAGAAATAATTTCTATTATTACATATTTTATCCTTAAGAAAGAAATAAAAATAAAGAACCTTTTAAGTATAATAATAAATATGACCAAAATTTGGAATTAAAATTTGAGACTAAAATTTAGCTCAAATTCATCATGTAGTTATTGTTATATCACAACTACTAGATGTGTGTGGTATAGTATGGATTTTAATTTTATAAAATTTATTATGTAATTATTATTAGACAACTGAATATTTTTAATATCAAAATATCCTGATTTTATCTTTTCTTAAAAATTAAACCCACTCAACTCTAAATATATATAATAATAATAATAATAATAATAATAATAATAATAATAAACCCAAGAGTTACGCATTTAAAATCCAAGTTAAATGGATCAAAGGTCAAATGGCCCAAAACTCTTCACATCCCTTACTCCTTTAATCCACCCTTTCAGTTCGGCCAATGAACTGGAGTGGGCGGTGGTTTTTCCCACCTCTTCCAATTTCTACTTTAGTTATGATTTCTTCTCCCTTCCACTTTCTTCTACGTCCGTAGTTCCTTTCACATTCTACGTGCCTGCTTGCTTCTTCTTCTTGTTCTTCTTTTTTTATTTAGAAATTAAAAAATATGTATACAACCTATATAAATGTTTTCCAATTTATCTCCATCGAGATTTTTCTACGCATATGGAATGCTGTGACTGCTTCAAACCTGAGATCGAGAGTGCATTGGACGCGTTAAGGATAGATGAGGATGTAAGCAGGGTTTCTTTTCATTTTAACTTTCCAAGTAAAATTTTATGGAAAAAAAGTATTAAGTTGTACATACTTTGATTACTAGATGAAATTAGTATTTAATATTGAGGCTTTCAGCTTATTTAATAGTTTTATTTTACCATTTCTATTTCATGCATGGTTTGTTGCATTTTTAGAGCGATGTTATAAGATAATTTTTTAAAATTATTTTTATATAAATTTTATATAATAATAAATAAATAAATAAATTTAATATTACAAATCTCACATAAATAATAAAAATTAATTATTTAAATAATACCTTAAATTATAAAAAAAATTATCTCAAAAACATTTTTCGCATTTTAAATGGTAAAGCTGGTGTCTAATTTATTTTGTTTCTGTCTTCAGCTACAAGGTTGCTTCTCCCCCTCCATCTGTTACTGTTATAGTCAGAACTCAAAGGTAAGTTTCCAATTTTTAACTTCGAATTTTAATTCCAATAATTGGAATTTATTTGAACAATTAATCTCACCTCACATGTTCAAGTTAGCTCCTTTCTGTATATAGGAGCATTGATTTTGGTTATTTGATTGTTTTAATCAATTATTTTCTATAGATTTCGCTTACAATTTCCTCTACCATTTATCCGCCAGTTATAATCCGATGGTTTTCCCGCTACCAAATTGTCCACACAGAAACAAGTGACTCACAGTGAGTGTTGTTCTTCCTTCAATCTGTATGTGTTTTCTATAATTCCTCAGCAATTGAACTACAAATGTCGGTTTGAATTTGAAACTCTTACAGAACAACAAACGTACCCTGGCAAAGTGATTTTTGTTTCAATAAAGCTTCTGGTTCAATTGGGCATATGCGTACACTAGAAATTACTAATACTGAAAGAGATATTCAGAAAAAATAATGGAAAAGAAAAAAAAATGGAAATCGGTTTTCAATGAATAAACTAAACTTTTTGCTGCTTTTAGCTTACAAAGCTTTAGATAAGCATTGTTATTGCATATTACAATGATCAGTGTTAATTTTATAATCATATTTTTCACTACCTATAGACTATTAATGAAATTTTCACTTTTTGATTCTTCTTTCTCCATTAGAGAGGCAGCGAAGCCATGTGAATCTCATACTTTAAAGTATTTCAAATTTGTTGCAGTTATTAAAAAAAAAAAAAATTACAGTGAAAGCAATGCAAGTAAGATCACCAGCTACCGTGAGGTGGAGCTTTCTCTTGACTTAACAGGTAAATCAGTTTTTCACTCTAAGAGGAAAGAATTCAAACTTGTATGCCCGTTAATTACAAAGAGGACAATTTCTAGATCACGAAACTCAGGAGCCACCAAGGTAACAACCTCTGTTAAAAAAATAAATAAATAAATGGGTACATATCAGACGAAATTATTTGCACTATCTCACCACCTAATTTTGATTCCTACTACCTCTTACTAGTCAGAGGTAAAGTATACAAAACCTCTTGTTGTACCTATGGTCGCAGTAGTCAAGTCGTAGGAATCACATTGGCCAGGTGCTATCAGAGGAATAACTGTAAAAATGTTGGTGGAATAGGTACAGCATGGCTTGGGAAATTTAGTTGATAATAAAACTTGACTTTTTGGAATGTCCAAGGCTACAAGCTGCTTTCATGTGATGGTGTTTGATGCACAACCACAGGAGATTTGCAAAAACTCTTAGCTCCTATTGTTGCTGACAATAGGATTTCAACACAAGTAGTCTCAGGCAATTTTATTTATAATTTATTCATTTCTAAAGGCTTTGTTTATTATAAATAGTTTAAGTAAAAGTAAATTGAAAATATATTGTCTAAGTTAAAAATTTGATCTTAAAACCATGACTTCATCAACTTAATAACCCTACGTAAATATATATATATATATATTTGATAAAGAATAACCCTATGTAAACATTGAAACTAAGTTCTTATCAGGTTTATACAATGTCCATTTTGAGAAAAGTCAAAAACCTCATAGTTTATATTGTTTTCCTCTCAATATTCAAAGAAAACATCTTGATCCTCCAATTTGGCTACCTTAAAAAATCTTTCCATTTGTCTTGTTTCATGTGTAAATTTATATCTTTTAATTATTCATAAGTAATATCATATTTCCAATGATATATAAAATGTACAAACATAATAAGACTATTAAAACCATATTACCTATTAACCAACAATAATAACTAATTCATGAAATTATTATATTATTCATTACAAATGTGCTCCAGTGATGTATTATGTAAATGTAATATGAATTAAAATGATTAATTATAACATGAGAAACATACACTACTAGAAAAAACTTTATTTCAGATAAAATATTTCGGACAAGAAAATATCTTGACTGAAAAAAGACTTAATTTGGTTAAAAATTTTGACTGAAATACACTTTAGTCCAATTAAAAACTATTTAACATAATAATTCGGTCTAAAATTATTTCGGTCAAATATATTGACAAAAAAAAGAGTGTCAATTGGTGCTATCATTAATTCAATCAAGTATTTTATTCAAGTTATATTAATAATAAAATAGTAAACATTTCAGTCATAAATTTTGACTGAATTAATTAAGTAATTTTTGTTCTAATTTAGCTATATTTTTTCGTAAAAAATTTTGACCGAAATAATTATCTCCTTTTAAAAAAAAAAAATTGGATTAGTATGATGCTTTTTTAAAAAAAAAAAAATTGTTTAATTTTCTATAAAATTATTTTGGTCAAGCATTTTGACCGAAATAATTGTCTCCTTTTTTTTTTTTATAATTCTATTAGGATGATGCTTTCTTTTTGTAAATTTTTTAAATTTTCTATGAAACTATTTTGGTCAAGAGATTTGACCGAAATAACTATCTTCCTTTTAAAAAAAAAAAAAATTTTCTATAGAAAATTATTACTACGCTTTCTTTCCTAAATTTTTTGAATTTTCTATGATATTATTTCGGTCAAGCATATTGACCGAAATAACTCTCTCCTTTTTTTTAAATTGAATTAGTATTGCACTATCTTTCTTAATTTTTTTTTTTTTAATTTTCTATAAAACTATTTCGGTCAAGCATTTTGACCGAAATAATTGTCTCTTTTTTTTTAATTATATTACTATGACGGTTTCTTTCCTAATTTTTTTTAATTTTCTAAGAAAATATTTCGGTCAAGAATCTTGACTGAAATTATATTGTTTTGGCTTCAAGAATTAAGTGAAATTTTTTAAATTTTTCGTCAAAATTATTTCGGTCAAAATTCTTATTCGAAATTAATGTTTTGGCTTCACAAATCAAGTGAAAAATTTTGAATTATCCGCCAAAACTATTTCAGTCAAAAATTTTGATCGAAATAATCTAAACACTTTAGACACTTTAAATTGTATTTTACACATTTCCTTCTTCCTTCTTTCTGCTTTTTTCGTTCATTCCGCCTTCCACACCCATATTTCCCATCTTTTCTCTTCCTTTTAATTACTTCCCCTCCTTATTTCTCTTTCCTTCCATCATTTTCTTTCATTTCTTCCTTTTTCTCATCTTCTCTTTTCTTCACTTTCCCTTTTCTTTCATTCAAGCTTCTCATTCTCTCTTCCATTTTCTCACATTCTTTTTTCCTCATACATTCCTTCCTTTAGTTTCATCTCCTTAAATTTCTCTCATTTTCTTTCTTCCTTTAATTTTAATCTTATTAGTTTATTTCTTTTACAATTTACAAGTTTGTTTCAATTAATATTGATATCAATTTTATTTTTT